CGCATTGTTATTGTCGAGACCACCCGTGCACGCGAATTATCGCGATGACCCCACGTTCGCCGCGCACGATCGTCCGCCGGCGACGCGACCGAATTAATTGAATCGAAACGCTGGAACGTGTTGACCGCCGAACGAAATTTATGCGTCTTACCGTGTCCGCGTTCGAGCTCGGCTTTCCTCGTCGAGCGTGTAACGATAACGCGTCTATGCGTTGAATACGGGCCGCTTTTTGTCCGTTGCCGCTCGAATTATTTTTCTGATTATTTCGGAAATTTCTGTGTCGGACGAATCTGAATGTTAACCCTTTGCACTCGAGAGGCGACTCCTAGTTGCCAGATGAACACTAATAATCACTATAAACATAATTTTTACTATTGGATAGCTGCTTGTCTTTTTGTTTCGATGGATTTCTATAGATGTTGCTATATAATTAGATTATTTATCATTTATTCTAGTTATAACTGACACTAATAATCACTACAAACATAATTTCTACTATTGAATAGCTACTTGTCTTTATTTCGACAGATTTTTATCCGAATAAATGTTCCTAACAAATGAAATTAATTCAAGTGGAAACTTCTCCATCAACCCAATACGTTATAAGACATTCCGATACAAAAATTCAATTGTTACAATTAATAACATGCTCTTGTATCATTGGTAACAGAGATTCTTCCACGATTATTGTCTTCCAACGTGCTGAAACATTGCTGCACGGGTATTCTAACGCTCGCAATATTCCGGTAACGGTTATTCCATTATAGTACATAGTTCCCCTCGAATGAAATTGGGCCGAAGTGCTAACCGAATCGCGGAAACCGGATTAAAACAACTAGATTACAACTCCGTGTGTTTGATATTAAATCAATCGATGGATTCCAGCCGCGGAAAGAACGATCGAAAACGACGTTCGCCGGTTTGCGGGAACCGGCGAACAATTCTTCCGTTCAATTAGGCAACTGTGTTAGAGCCGCGGGTCCGCCGAACCGCCGCGAACACTCTCGGCTCCCCCGTTTCGCAACCGTCGAAACCGTAAAAGTTGTCTTTATGGCCCCGGCGTTAATATATATTCGTTTTGCCAGTATATTTGCGTGCGGCAGTAAACGTCGCGTAAAACTTCCTAGAATGAACCGCTGTAAATTCGCGAATTACTCGTAAGAAACCGTGGACCGGTTGCTCTGATAAACGCCGCCCGGAGAAACTTTCGAAAGATGTTCTCTCTCCTCTTTCGCCGGACGAAGAAGGATCACTTCGAAATCGCCGCATTTCAAATTTCTATGAGAGCCTCTCGTCTCATCTTCTCCCGAACGAACGGAGAGTGCTTTTGCCGATTTGCTGATCGAAAAGAAATTTGCTTCCGGTGTATCGACAATTGCAGCGAAACTCGTTATCTGACGTAAATGAATTCTAATTCGACAGTTACATCTTCTGTCATATATTCTATAAATATTAGTTTAACACTAGAACTACCGAGCATTTAATGTAATTCTCTATGAAAATTGAAACAGAAACTGAAACCAGTCATTTTGACTATTACGTAGTTCTAATGTTAAATTCGTTTCATTTAGTTCAATTCAGAGTTTCCAGTGTTTTCGATACAGTTTCTTAGAAATACGCGTTGACGCAAGATTCTGCGGCAGCCATTAATATTTCGTTGTTCCTCGGACGTTTCACCGATTTCTCGTTCGTCTCGCGAGTGAACGCGGAAGTTCCATCCACGGAAACCCATGTCCGTCTTTTTCCGCGTTTCCGTGTCCGATTTATTACTGTCCTTTGGCGTTCTTGGTTAGATTTGAGCGCTGCGTCTTTGAATGCCTTAACACTAAAACTACCGAGCAGTTAAATTTTTTGAGATTCCTCTGTGGAAACTCCAAGAATGCACCTATAGAGAATTCAAATTGATCAAGAATTCAGCTTGAGTATTGCTAAATCCATTTCTTTAACCATTTCTCAGAGACACCTGTTATCTTTCTAATAAGAAAAAGAAATTAGAAATGGGTCATTTTTACCCGTCTGGTAGTTTTAGTGTTAAGATTTCGCTTGCGAGAAGGTTCTCATTAGAAAAGTCATCGTGTCGATGAAATTCCAAATAGCAAATGAAGTTTTCCTACCGGTCGTTCGACGGTCGCGGTGCGTTTAGCGACAACAAACGATTTTCAGTCGCGTGCACTCGTTCTCCAACTAGCCGAGGCAGATCGAACTGAAAAGTTCACGGCTCGTGACTTCGCGAGTTGCGAAAGTTGGTTCAATTTGCCTCGAGATCGGAAGCGTCCGGCGGCTGGCATCGGTTCCCGGTCGCAGCGCGGAATTCCTCCGTGTCGAAGTTCCGCGGTAGGCCGGGCCGATCGGCTGCTCTTTGACGCCGACAACGATACAATTAATTCTCGGACTCCGAGTTCCCTTGACAAATTTTCAACGCGCGTGATTATTACGACAATCACGGTATATATAAGTGCAACTTTAGAGCTTCCCAAGTGTTCCTAAGCAAACGAAACTGAACAAAGTGAACCATACTATAATTGAACCGAGTACCGTCGGTTCCAAACCGTGGCACAAACAGTCGACTTTACGAGACAACGTCAAAACTCGAGTAAACATCGGTAAAAATAGCTGATTCGAGAGTGTCCATCGGACAAGAGGAAACAAGTTAACATTCCCAGCGCATAAATTAATGCGAATACTCTCGTCGATAGCGGCGACTCGTCAGGAACGGACACGCGAGCGCCAGCTCGGCGTGGGACGCGCCATTGTTACGCCAAGATTTCGCCGTTCCGTCAGAGCGCCGCTCCTCGGATTCACGGAAACTTTGATTTATTCGTCGTTCTTCAAAAACGTACTTACAAATCGAAACCGGAGATCCATGAAACAAAAGTAATTTTCTATATCAGAGGAATACAATAAAAATATTCTTGTTTCCCTCGTGGCGTCTATATAACACGAATTAATACTACGAATATTATAAATATAAATATTAAGAAAAATTCAGCTTCGAGTCTACCTTGGTTGATCTAAGCTTGGACTCTTTCATTTGTCTTTCGGTTGACTCGAAGCTGAATTTTTCTTGGAGCTTCATTCAGGAATGGTCCAAAGGTAATTTATTCGAAAATCAAGCAGCCCTTAAGCAAAAGGGGCTCGAGCTGCCGGGTAATCTAAGTAGAAGGTTGAATCAAGCCAACGGGGACGTTTTGATGTAAATGAAAAGCAATTTGGTAGATCCTACAGTAGGAAAGGTAGCATTTATACCGTAGAAAGAGGGAATGAGAGAGAAAAAGAGAGAGATCTAAGAAAGTCGTTACATGCCCGTGAATGGTCGCCGTTCACCGTTTAACGACCTGCTAATTAAAATCGTGACTCGCTTGTTTCCAGGAGTTCTACGAAATCGTTGAAACCCTTTGGAAGGACCGGGGCGTGCAGCAGAGTTTCGAGAGGAGTAACGAGTACCAACTAATCGACTGCGCCAAATAGTGAGTGCAATTTTCATTTTTGAACACCCGCCGACTTACCTTTCAACACTTTCGCTTATCCTATATTCATCTAGCTCCTTCCTGAAAATATCCTCCCCTTAGATATTCGAAATTATATTCACACAACTTGAATTGCATTTGTCCATTCAATTCGTTCTCAAGAATGCAAGATCCATCGATTATTAAAACGATGCTATTATTCAACAATCCAATCTTCCAAAGCGGATGAAATTTCAGCTTTCATTTTAAAAACTTACTCAGCTAGAAGTATCATCATCGAATCACCAGACTCCTACACAATTTCCTTATTTCATCTCCATTCGTTCATCCGCAAATATTCTTCCCCGAAGTAACAATAACCCGTTCGCTTCTCGTTCGTCTTGCTCCTGCTCTCTCTCGAAGTACAGTAGAACCTCGATTATCCGATTCGATCGGGCAACCGGCCCAGATAAATGGAGGCGCACAATTTCTGCGAGAGACTAAAATTCGATCATTCCAATCCTTTCGATCTTCCCGATAGTCTCGATCGCGAGGAATAACAAATTCCTTAACCCTTATCCTACAACAACGAGTGAGACTCGTGGTGAAGAGTTTCAACACGATTCAACAAATATATATATTACTTAGTTAATTCGAATTCAAAGTAAATATTACTTCTCTGTAATCAACCATTATACTTAAAAGGAAATTTAGGCGTAACATACGTTTAGAATTTTTCTCTTTTTCCAATAGATTATTAATGACAAAGTAGCCGTATCGATCAGAGTTGAGAAAGAAATCATAGGCCAAGGGGTTAACCCTTTGCATTCGGGAGGTGACTCTCAGTCACCACTTGATCTGACGCAATAAAACTATAAAATCTGATATTTAATATTGAACTTCGTACAGTGCCTCGATTCGCGAAATATTCGAATAAAACAGCTTTCCTCAATCTATTTGTGATTTCCTGCGAGTTAGTTTCAAAAAATATCTTTCTGTCAAAAAATCTTAAATACTCCTAAGAAACTTCCAAGTGCAAAGGGTCAATCGAGCTCCTACTGTAACGACCTCGTCGTCGAATTCTCGACGAACCCCGCCGATCTCGCGACTTGGAAGTTCTACCAACGCGAACTGCGCCCTAAGAATACCGCGACCGGGAGAGCCGAGCGGCGCGCGGTCCCCTATAAAAATAAGAGGGTAAAGTTATTACCTGGCCGCCGCGTTAGACGCTCCTCCGCGCTCGACCCGTCACAGCTATTCTAATCTGCCCCCTCGGGGTAGCTGATATCGCGATCACGATAAGGAGGCGCGAACGATAACGCGCTCACGCGACGATAATGGAATCGCGCGCGCCGTTTTTCGCGAGAGATTCCGGCCGCTCGGCCGCGACGACTCCGCGGGAACGCGTTCCCCGTAACAAAATCACGGGAACAATAGGAATTTCGAGCTTCTCATTGATAGATCATCGGTAGATACTGCCGATACCTGGGAACGAGGCATTACCGTGCATTGATTGGTGATTCTATGTGAAAACGGAGAGATCGTACGGAAATTCTTGAGAATCATGGCAGTTGAACATTTTCGAAGATGTACGTTTCGGAGATTCTAAGTGGAACCCGGTACACATTGTAGAAACGGAAGACACTCGGAGACAAGGGATTGACGCCGGGTTTTTACTTTGTCCACAGTCGTGGCAAGACAAAAGGTATTGTGTAAGACGACGTGAATTACGACGACGTGAATGAGCTTCGACCGCGTATTTATAGAAGCCCGCAGACCGACAGGTTGCCAGTCCCGATCTTCGAATCTTCCTCTCGAGTTCCCGAAAACGTCTATCCACCTGCTGTAACTCGTCAGACGGCAGTCGGAGGGATCCTCTTATCGAAAGAGAAACTTCAAGTTCAACGTTTCGCAGCCTCTCGTCTCAAGATCCGAGAAAGTTTCGTTCGTAACCGGCGATCCCCGAATCCGCACGGAAAAGTGTTCGGCGCCGAAGAATCTCGTCTCGGAGCCGCCCGAGGCGGATCGGAGAGGCGGTCGCCGGCAATTTCGACGCGTTCAGATAACTCTTATCGGCGGGGCGAAGCGCGGCCGAGTCGGCCGGCTTATTTTGGCGAACGCCGGCGAACAATCGGCCGGGTTCCCAACGGCGGCCGCGACTTCTGCAACTTCGGAAGCGTTCCCGTGACCGCGATAGAGAAGTGTGCGTTCATGGGCCTGTGACACCGATTTAATGCCAATGAAGACAATGCTTTTAACGAGGTAATCGCTTTAATAGGGGCCACTCTCGTGTCCGTTCAGGGGTTCTCGCCGCGCAGGCGGCGGCCTAGAACTTTTTCCCCCGGGCCGTTCTCAGACGGACAAACCGCGGCACACGCGCTTCCGTGCGGCCGCGGGACGGTTATTTTTGGCGCGGCGCGTAAATTGTCGTTCGCTTTACTCGCCCGACCGACGGACGGCTGCCTCAACCCTTAGAAGCGTCGGCGTTACGGAAATTCTACTATCGAAACAGTTATAATGTTGACACTGCGGAGGACTCGGTTTCGTCGAGCTTCGATAAAACAAAATGAAGGATCGAACCCTTCTGGAAATTATCGTTCGTTTTACTCGTCCGATCGACGGATAGCAACCTCAACCCTTAGAACGGCGTTACGGAAATTCTAATATCGAAACAATCGTAATGACACTGCGGAAGAGTTTCGTCGAGCTTCGATAAAACAAAATGGATCGAACCCTTCTGGAAATTATCGTTCGTTTTACTCGCCCGATCGACGGATAGCAACCTCAACCCTTAGAACGGCGTTACGGAAATTCTAATATCGAAACAATCGTAATGACACTGCGGTGGAGTTTCGCCGAGCTTCGATAAGACAAATTGAAGGATCAAACTCTGCTGGAAATTACGCAAATTATCGTTCGTTTTACTCGCCCGATCGACGGATAGCAGCCTCAACCCTTAGAACGGCGTTACGGAAATTCTAATATCGAAACAATCGTAATGTTGTCTGGAAATTACGCGCAAATGACACCGAGGGATGCCGAGTACCAAGACGAAACATCGCCGTCGACGTACGACGGGTCGATAATTATTTATCGCGCAAACGCACGGTTTTTCGTGTGCCGATCGACGAGCAAGAACTACGGGAACAAAAAGGAGGCAGAATGGAAGACCGAGCGGCGAGGCCGCGCACAGAGGAAAGGCCGCTCGAAGAATCGAACGATTCCCTCCGATATTTTCTAACCGTCCCACCTTTCAACTCGTTGTCAACTTTAGAGTGGCCCCGGAGCCGATAAATTTCTATAAATCAGCGAAAAACCGCGCGCTCGCTCGTTCCTTGCTGCCTCTCTCTCTTCCTCTCCATCTCTCTCCCTCCCTCTCCCTCTCTCTTTCTCTCGTCCCGGTCCAGCAGGTCGCTTGAAACACGTGTATCCCTTTGAGAATTACATAGGCGAGCGAGAGCCGCCGCGCACAGGTTGTTGCACTGGATCGGTGGGCAAACGGGCGTGAATCCCGTGTGTAAACGCGAAACTTATCCGCTATGCCAACAGACCCGGCTAGATGGAAAGAGCGAGCCACGGTGTACATATTTCGCTTCGTCGTCCGAGGCCCGTCGATTCGTCGGACGGTTCAATCGGACGCGGACCTGGCGTCGGTCGCATTGCGATCGGATGCAACCTCGCCGAACGCTGGCGTCTTCCTCGAGAATTATCCTCGATGTCGCTTTGCGAGATTTCGAAGGGTTGCGAACAATTTTCTTTCGATTATATGTGAATATGTACAGAATGTTGTTTGTTGATGGTAATGGTACTGGAACTTAGGTACCGATCAGAGTTTTCTGAGAGGAATATAGGCGATTGTCGATTTATTACGGAAGTGAGAATAACTGTTGGATAATGAGGACATTTCATTTGTCTTTAACGAGAACTATGGGTTTTTCTGTTTGGAAGTGATGGTTGTTAGAACAAAATTATGTGTATAATCTGTATATCTAATATAGATATAATTGTAATATAATGTAGATTGTTAGAATAATATAGATAATAATCTATATAATCTAATATATCTAATAATCTATATAATCTATATATCTAATATAGATATAATTGTAATATAATGTAGATTATTATAATGATATAGATAATATAGATTATAATCTATATAATCTAATATATCTAATAATCATCATCTAGATGTGTATCTTTTCAGGGAATTAAGGAATTAGTCTAGATGGTTGAATCGAATGATCTTATCTCCTTGCATCTCAAAATTCTTGGCAAAAGTTATTACAATGAAATGATACAAAGTTATTTTATGTCAGTGTTTCTCCGCGTTATACGAAGATCAATATTAAATACCAAAGTTTATTATTTCGATGACGTTGCTTTCCCGAGTTCCAGTTTCTCTGTACTTTTCTCGATCGATGATTTACAGATCTTTCTCATCGAGCTGGACGAATTTAGTTGCTAACCAGGTGTTCCCAGGTGTTGTTTCGTCTCTGTGTCCTTTGAATCCGAGCTGCTTTGTTTCCTTGATTTTTTTTATCGCCGCCGCTCGAGCTCGAAGTGAATCGGAAGAGGCGATCATTCTTTCGCTTCGAGCTGAATGAACTTGATCACCTGTCGCAGCGAGTATTTTTAGAATACTATTTCGTTTCGAGGCTTTCCGAACTCTTCTCTTCTTCTTCGTTCTCTTTCTTCACGGGCAACGAAAGTTCCGATCATTCTTTCGCTCTCCGACTGAATGAACCGATTCCAACTTGGAACTCTCGCAATCTTCACACTACCGGACGACGGATCCGTTCACGACTCCCTCCTTCGCAGTTATCGAAATGATAACGAACGCTTTCGTAAGAATCTATCATAGAACTAATTAACTCTTTGCACTCGGAAGTTTTTCACTAGAAACATTTTAACATTTCCTGATGAGATGAAATCGATATTTCGTGAAACTAAGTCGAAATAACGCGTACATCGAGGAACAAAGCTATTTTATTCGAGTATTTCTCAAAATGATGCATTAT